ATTCGGAACATCAGAGGAGGAACTTGCTAACGATAGTGCTTCGTTCTCTAAAACTTGGTTCCCATTTGCATTCGTAATTTCTATGGCTGGTGATTGAGTTGATATAGCTTTAATAAGAAAACGTGCATGGATTAAAAACAAATATACATAAATGTAATGCTGTTGTATTCATAATATCTTTTCATTCAAATCGAAATGATATGGCTTTGATTTTTTCTAATTGTGTGTTTGTTTGCTTACTTGTTTGTTATACTCCTCTGCCTCGAGAAAAATAAAGAAGCACATAATTACGTTTTGCATACACATCACCAAACAAATTTTCAGTTCTGTTCTTGCATATGGTTAAGTTTATCAAAACACTTCTTGTATAACAAAAAGGTGTCACCATATTAAAATCACAGAATACTTCCTAGTTGGTCTGCAATATTCTATTTATGACCTCGTGTCTTTATACAATTTAAAATTAGCTTACTCGTGTTAGATAATCATGATAGCCAGCCCTCATTCTTTTGGGAACCTCTATGTTTTATTGTCATTCTCTTGAATAGTTTATTGAAAGCGAACAACATATTGAATAACTTAATTCAGAAATAAACACTGATATATAGATGGTAATGTAAAAGTAAATCGAATAATCAAATATGTCAGAACTATTTTCCTTCATATGTTCACCTGGAAAAATTGTATTGCATTCCATTAATATCTTTTTGAAGCAGTTTCGAATAAATAAATTCTTACCTGAAATAAATACTGACAAAAGAAAAGACCAAAATAATGTCAAATCCATTTCCAAATTGATCATTCCAAGAATTGATATATCCTTTTCGTTATGAGATATGTTGTCCTTTTATATTGATAAAGACCTTTTTTCATTGGTCCGAAATAGTTCCGCTTGGATTTGATCCAGTTCCCCTTAACACTGTCGTTAAAGTAGTGTAAGTTCACAATACCATTAATACATTATAAACACAATTCATAAAGACTTTTTCCTCCACAATCTGACACCAACATTTATGTATTTCGAGGCAGCAGTAGCCGCTTAATATAATTAATTATCTAGTGTAATGTCCTCATGTTTACATCAAATACCAATTAGTGTATATAAGTATTGTGTGACTTTGGAGTACTTATTTATGTAACACCGTATCGTCTACAAGAAAAAAAAGCGTTCAAATGCATGTCAATATCGACCTTTCCAAGAATTGATATATAACATACGCTACGTAACATGATGTCCTATTACATTGATAAAGACCTGTGCGTTCAAAAGTAAGTCATGTTTACAATAGATCGTTAACAACTATGAGAGCAGATTGAACTACACTTCTGAAAATCACTTGCAAAAACATAAGTGCTACTTCAGTGTTAGTATCTCTTAAGGTTAGTTTTCTCATAATCTGTTGATTTTGTGTTTTGATCTTCATATTTTGTCTTATGCAATACATGTTGGTCCTGTATATGACACAACATTCTTGACAAAGCTTTTTATATAAAAACTAATCAGAATGTCCACACATTTTAACGTTTTATCAAAAACAAATCTACTTGGTTTTGTAAAATTTGTAACGGTAAACATGTTTGTGATGATTATTTATAAGTATTGCTTTAATGCTTAATAAAATTGAATAGAAAACAAATACATTTATTGTAAATGTCCGTGTATTAATGTATGAGGAAACCTGTCATCAGTAAGAGAGGACAGCTATGAGCCTAATTTGTATATATGTTAATCCTAGTAGTTTATTGCTTTTAATTGTGACATTAAATAGATAACGTCCTCCGCTAGGAATAAGGCACAACCAGGTACCTCCAAACACCTAAACACATATTTGTTTATAACAAGAACACACAATTAATGTGTCCTATGGCAAGTCATTATGATTAAAAGTTAAGTGACATTTTATTCCTTACGCTTAAGTGGTATTGACAGCGACGATCTGCCACAGTTTTCTTTTCTGTTAATCATCTCTCATGATCTTAACCTCGAAAGGAATATTTCTTCACGACATATATCTATTAGTCGTTTTCACGGCATTATTACGTGACAAGTAATTACCAATTTGCGGAATATTTAATTACTACTGATGACGTAACAAGACAGGCGAGATCATTATGGTGTAGACGTGGAGCATTATGTCTATGAATATGATAGTAATAGAAGCGTATCAGGTTTTAAATATTCATCAGATCATATTCTAGTTTAAAGACGTTTCGACAGCTGGCGGAGACGTCGCGATTTTAAATGAGATATTGTTTTGAGCTTTGCACGTACTATAAAAAGTCCCACTATCTTCCGGAATACCATACAAGGTCTGACTGTGGTGGTTGTTGGCTCATTCGGGGAGAGCGTCAGAATAGCACGTTCCTGAAGTAGGAGTTCTTTTGTTTGAAGTTCTACGGAACAGGAAATAGTAGCATGGATACGCCAACAATGTTTTTATGCACATTCCTTCTGGTGATGATTGTTTCAAGTAAGTTTCTAAACAAATAGGGCTATTTCGTTTATGATTTACTTTTGATGATTTAATATACTTCATTGACGCAAAGTAAGGTTGCAATATCAACGAGGCGACATATATTAGACGTTTGTAAATAATATCTGTAGCCTACTTCATTGACTCGTAGTATTTTATTGACAACCATTAAGGCGACATAAAGCAATGATTTACAGAAAGATAGCATACACCATTGACTCATAGTAAAGTTGTTTATTTCATAAACACACAGTAATGTAGATGCATTATCGTCTCACAGTAAGACATATTTGTAACGTATTTCGTCGAATTGTAGTATTTTATCGACACTCATTACGGCAACAAATATTATTTATTCATAGTAAAGTAGTATGCATATCTAATTGACTCACATTATTGTAGTATCATCGACTCAGGAAAGCTAGCTTATATCATTGACAGGTATAAATACGTCGAGCATATCCCGTTGATTCGTAATATTTGAATATTTCTCACAAATCATTGACTCACTGTATGGTAGCAAACATCCTTGACTTACAGTAAGGCATCAATTATAAATGACTCATCGTAAAGTAGCAAAACAAGAAACAAGTTATTTCAAAGGATGTTAATTGAACATTCCGATATAATTTGAAATATTTTGTATAAGGTATATGCCTTGCTGGGTTACATTGATAACTCTACATAGCAAAAATATGCTTCCCTACATTAAGCATATCTAATTCAAACTTGTTTCCAATTTGCATTCGTAATTTCTATGGCTGTTGATTGCGTTGATATAGCTTTGATAAGAGAACGTGCATGGACTGAAAAAACTTAGACACAAATGTAATGTTGTTGTATTCATAATATCTTTTGATTCACAGAAATTTACAGCAATCATTTAAAATGCTGTTCTTTACTAGATACAAAAATGCATCGTTTGTTTAAGGTATAGTTGCTTTATAATGATGTTCTAGAAAATGTAGTTTTTTAATTATTATATTTATTGTACATTTATGAAGAAAATATAAACTGGTGTGTAATATTTGCTGATTAAATAATAACTTTATTAAACGCAATGTTTTGAGGGCCGCAATGGCTGATTGGTTCAGTCGTCTGACCTTCTACAATTACTAGCCCATAACCCCTAGGGGCTTTAAAGCACAAACGAACGAAAACACTATTTTTGAATATGTAAGGCTGCAGTGTTAATAATACAAACATGTATGTTTAAAGGTGTCACGGCGTTATCCCCGATGGCGCAGAGCATGAATGCAGAAATCATGTCAGACTACATGGACCTACAAAGAAAGGTTATGAGATATAGGATGTTTCAGTCTTCAATGGGAGGACCGAATGGTGGGAATACTGTTCTTCCTGCTGGAATACAAAATCTCCTCGCCTCTTTTGGAGGAATGGTTCCATCAGAGATGTCATCTGTCCAAACATCGGTAAATAGTGGGTCACAGACAGGTAACTTTATGCCAGAAGTAGCACCAACACTTCAAAACATTGGACTAAAAAATCCACAACCTGCAACAAAAACAGCAAACGCAAAGACATCATCAAAAAAGAGCAGTTTAAAATCAAAAAGTGGTAAAGTTACACATCCCAGCAATGCAGCTCAGACACCAAAGCAGTCATCAAGTAAACAAACCCCAGTGACAGATATGGTGAGTAATGTACCAACGGCTATAGGCTCTA